GTGAGTCAAAACAACAAAATCTTTTATAAAGTAATGATTATTCATGTATTTTTAATTAATGAATTTATTTATTTTTGTCTCCCGTCTTTTTGAGGTTGGAAAGATTGTGCTTTCTAGAACACTAATAAAGTCGTTATTAATATATTCATATAATCATATGAATATATGATATTCATATATTCATACGTCATATATTCATGTAATCTTTTTGAAAATTTATTTTACAAGATTATATTAAAATGTGGTCAGTATTTATATAGCAAGATTTTATCAAGAGGCCTGAGAGTGATTAGCCAGTAGGTTAAGGTTATAAGCAGGATGAGGCAAGAAGACTACTATATATTGTACTAGAATTATTTAATTCCATGTTATCGAGTTAAATTAGCAAGTGGATAATAATTATATTATGTAAAATCTGTTGGGTGATAATCCAGTAATAGTGGGTTAGGGATGTAAGCAGGGTGAGGCAAGAATTACTATAAAACCGACTGGAAATCCATTGAAGATGGCAAGAAGATGAATCACACTTGGCAGAATAAAACTGCGATAAAAATAGTAAGAAACGACCAAACTACAGGTTCAATATTATTTAATAATTATTTAATTATTATGAATTCATTCAATTACATATTATTACTTTTAATTGGTAAATGGTTAATAATTCTATCATGTGATTTACTCATGAAGTTTGTTGGGTAAGGAACCAGTAATGGTGGGTTAAGGATATAAGCGGGTATTACAAAAAAACGTGCAAAAAAACAGGATCCGCCACTGAAGACCTCGAGAAGCAAACAGAAGTGGTGAGTAACTACAACTACAGTTTTTTTCACAATGTAATTTTGGAATTTGCGATGTATTTTAATTATGTATTTTAATCTTTCATAACAAGAAACCAAGAAATATTTTTGTATTTTCATGTGCTTTACAGAACATCCACTTCAAACCATATGGCACAGCGTTTATCAATGCAATGGTAAAGGTCCCGGGTTCAAATCCAACGGCCCTGAATTCTTTCTTAACCGTCATATTTACAATTTTTTAAACCGGCACCCCGAGGGTTCATATAATCTTGTAGTTGAAATATATTGTATATAATGTACTCAAAAATAAAATTAATTACTTCACTCAGGCCTTTTGATAATTTTATCTATCGGTAGTAAGCTTTATACTTTTGATCTGTTTAACACTAATAAAGGTGTAATAAAAAAATATTTTTTTCAACTGAAAAATTGTACATAATTTCTTGTTATACCATTTAATGTTTGCTAAAATAATTTTAATTGTTTTTAAATTCTATGAATATGTATATATACTATTACTTATAAATGATTAAAAATAAGTTTTTCACAAAGCGAATACATTTTCTGTACAAAATATAATACAAATTAAAACAAAAGCAGTCCGTATACAGCAATGATTACTAAACCGATTGCTGAAGGTGGTGGCTGGTTTACGTTAATAAATTTAGAATAATGAATTTACTATAATGTATTGTACGTTGTTCAGCAAAACGCACCAACACATTTTGAACAAAACACAATCCATTTATTTTGAAACTGGAAGGACCAAATATAATACTGGTTAAATGAATTTATTTATTTATTTCTACTGAATAAATTAAAATATTCATAAAAATTACAAGGGTACAATAAATTTAATTAAAAGGGCATAAATCATTATTTAGAGATTAAAAATTTGTAGAATTAGAAACTATTTTTGGTGTAATAATTTCATTGTCGGTTAACATAAAAACTATTATGCATAATATTATAATTTATAATATATTTTATTATTTTATGAAATTTTTTAAAGGTAAATCTTTTATATATTTTTCTGGTGTATACGTCGTTAAAAAGCTACGTTCCTCTCCTTTCAAACTGTGTATTTGACGTTAACAACCTTTTAGCCGTTTTTGAATTATACCCATTTCAATCAGATATTCCCATAACGATTTTTTAAAATTCGGAAAAAAAATCACAAAATCAAAAAAAATTTAAATTCAAACAAAAATTTATCATTAAGGGTCTCTAGAGATGCTAAAACAAAATTTTATTTTGTTTTTAAGAAGAAATAAATTATGATCTAGTTTATTTGAAAAAAAATTGTTTTAGAAATTTTTTGGTTATTGATAAACTTTGATATTTTTTAATATATTTGTATTGCAATCTACGTAAAAAATGCTGTAAAATTATATATTCACATAGTTGATTTGAGCAAGTGGAACGGCGAAATAAAAAGTAGTTCTATAAGAAAATACATAAGATAAGAAAATATTTTTGTCAGGTATTAACCTCGTATGTTAAACAGAAATAATAGTCCGATTTTAAAGTTTGAAACAGTTATAAAATGCACTTGACAATTTCTTTAAACGACTTATGAACCATGAAAATCGGTCTCCCAGGTATTGAGAAAAATGATGTTAGAGTCTGCACTAGGAATGTTATTTACATAGAAGGTCGTCGAGACTATCAGTAAAAAAATTAATTTACACCGATTTCTGCGAAAGTCGGTATTTATAGGTTTTATAACGCTAGTATCACGATCAAGTTTTAATATCAAATAACAATTTATGATCATTCATTATCATCATAATTGCATTTATTCATACTTATTAGATATTTAGGCTACAACGTTTGTGTCATGCCGAACTGTTGGTCCGTTTTATTTGTTTTCTTTTTTTAATATTTCAGTCATCGGTTAATGAAGCTTTTTTCAAAATCTAATTTTAGTAACAGTTAAGTATCATAAACCGTTATTTAAAAATCAAAAAAAATATTATTTTCGGTGTATTAATGTCATTGTTGTTTAAGATAAAAACAAAAATGTTCCATAACTCAGTATATTACGATTTATTATGTGTTGAAAAAATAAATCAACAAAATACTGCTTTTTCTCATATTTTAATAAACATTTTGTATGCAAAGTAAGTCCGAAAATGGTTAAAATTCGGATTTGGCCTCATTGTGATTCCAGCGTGCATTTATAATTGTCAAACATCAAAATCGGACTATTATTTTTATTTAAAATATTAGATTAATTTCTGACAAAAATATTTTCTTATTTCCTTTATATCTCTTTATTCTCTATATTTCGTTAAAATGCTACGTTCCTCTTCTAATACTATGTTTGACGTTAAAATCTTTTTGCCGTTTTTAAATTATAGCCCTTTCAATCAGATATTCCGAGAATGACTTCTTAAAACTCGGAAAATTTGAGAGGTCAAAAAATCGATAAATTTAAATTAAAAAATTTTATATTTACAGTTGTCGAGGTGCTAAAACGAAATTTCATATTAGTTTTACGATTTTTTTGTGGTGTACTTGAAAAATATATCTTTTTTAGAAATGTTTTGGTTATTGATATACTTTGAGTGCTTTTACTTCATTTTTATTGTAATCTAAGTATATATATATATGCACACAGTTGATTTCAGTAAGTCGAACGGCAAAATAAAATTATTAAAAAAACGATAAATTTCAAGTTTCAAAATGTTTTTTGGAGAATCCAGGGCCTATTTACAAGAAGTGAAAAGTTTGGTCCAAATCCGTGACACGCCAACCTGGTCGTCCCGCTGCTAGCCAAAAAATGAGCGGTCCTCCTTCACCCAGGAGTTACACAGTGAGCAGTAACAGAATCATCCCACAGAGAAGAGTAATTAAGGTAGATAATTTTTCACCTAAGTTTGAAGAACCAAGACAACTTTAGATTATTACTGGTTAAGTCAAAAAACGCCTTTGAATAATCAAGTTTCTTGTAAAGTAGAAAACTGTTCTAGTAGTTGTAAAGTAGAAAAATGTATGATTCAAAAACCAAAAGTTAGAGAACCATTTTTCATGGTTGTTCAAGCAAAGTTAATATTAAATTCTTGGGAAAGTGTATTGAACTCCTTAACCCCTTAATTATTTCAACCGTCGTAATTTTGGGAAGTACGCAGTCTAGCAATACAAGTTATATGGCAATACAAACATACTTATTGCTTTATTTTTGTACTTAGGTTCTTCCCCATATGTTTTTTAGTAAATAAATAACACAAAAACATTGAAAATAATGACAAAATAGCTTAAATTTATAAATTAGTATTTAAATTTGAAAAAACTGCCTTGGTTTCATACTTCTTCTTAAGAACTACTTATTCGAACTTTAGCTTTTTAGTAGCACAAATGCAAAGAAATTGTTATTTCCTAAGTCAAAATATCTTAAATATGACGTCGCAAATTCAATCAAATTTGATTATTTATGTGAAATGAGTAAACGAATGTAATAGTCAAAACCAGCGAGAATAGGCGGACCAGGATCGGAGACGATGACATTCCCAATAGTTCATCTCGATAATTAATGTCTTCCCTGTTGTTTTTAGATTTATCGGTTAGTGTAAAGAAAAAAATCCTTGTGGAAGCTTAAGTTCTAAAAAGGGATCTGTGAAGTATTCTTGACCTTATATTGACTAAGGTCAGGTCATCTTTGAGCGGTACTGGCAAGTATGCACCCCTTCAACCACGAGAATTTTCACTGCTGCTAGGTCGAATAAAATAATGTAATCCAGGACAAATTATGCTTTAAAAAAGTAATAATTCTCTGCTATTTTTCCAATGAAAATAGAAATTTTAGAGCATGATTTGACATTAACTAGTGCAGTATTTATAGTATTATTGCCTATTGCAAATCTTTAATGGATATTTTATCATGTCAGTTCAGACTTAATTTTTCATAAATTAAATGTGCACTTGTTTAATGAGCTTATTATCTTCCGATAAATAAATATTCGGAAAGATAAATGGGCAATTATTTTTCTGAAAAGAGTATATTTTGTTTGTCCAATATATTAAATGGCAGGTAATAAAAGCTTCGGATTTATGAATCATTGTTTGCCGTTGTGATTTCGGTGTTGGGGGTGAGTCATCGTGAAGCCCTCGATGGAGTCGACGCCGTTCAAACGGGTGGTTCAAAGTGGGTGGTGGTCAATTGATAACAAAAAAGAGGGTTGATAACTTTCCCGAGCATCACTGACCTTTGTGCATCCCTGTGAACTTGTCCTTGAGCACGGCGAACTCGTAAATCGGGCCGAACTCTTCGAACATGGGCCTGAGGTGTTCTTCGTTCAGGTGCCTCGGAATCTGCCCGACGAAGAGCTTCACCGCCCCGTTCTGCCGGTCCGAAGAAGGGCTGCTCGGCCTGCTGGGGCTCCGCTCTTCGAAAACCTCCAGCGCATCCTGCTTCGGCATGCATTTCGACTTCATTGGTGAATCTGTTATCAGCATGTCTTGGTCTTCCTCGTGGCCGTGTTTGTCCGGAACAGGCGACCAGCCGCCCAGGCCTTTACGCCTGTACCGCACATAAACCGACTCGACGACGCACTCCAGCATTAAACAAACCAAATTTGTCAAAAAAACTAACAAAACCAAAATGCACTCAAAAACCGACTGACGACCCCGCACCGTCTGTCGATGTTACACCGTGAATTCCACCTTGGGACACTGTAGGAATAGTGAATACTCGAGGGAAACACCTGTTACTGCTTTTCCTGGAAACTTTTGACTCGACCCCGGGGGCGAAATATCAATGTCACAGCCAGCCGTCGTTCCTGCTGACTTCTCCCGCACGGAAACAACCGTTCTCCGTGTTTATAGCACAAAACAAAACGAAAGAACGAACGGAGTCTACAACAGAACATACGTTAGATAGATGTGGCGTGGAGGACGCTAGCAACCCTCCCTATTCCACGCCGACCCCACCAACCACCCCCAGTTCAATTAAACCATCCCTTCCCTGGGGGCGGCCATTCAAGACACACTACTATCCATCGTAAAAACATGGATACCACGTGTTATTCACGTGCGCTACCACAACATCATAGAAATAATCATATTCTTCGATGACATTAGGGGGCGGGAATTACGTTCCGGTTCATGACCTTTAATTCCAGTCGAAGCTTTTGAAAAAAAAAGATCAAATAAAGATCGACTCGAAATTCCGAGTTTATATAGTATATTTCGGACAGTGCAATAAAAACCCCGCTGATCGTCCTGTCATGATAACAACGTGTTTTGTTCTTATATCGGCCGTGGAAAGAGGTAAAACAATATGAAATGAAAACATGAAAGACAGCACACGATCTCTTCATTCGACCGTAATTCCTCTGGAAGTCTTCCATGTCGGAGATACCACAAAATCGCTCTTTAATTTTTTTTTAATGTCACATTTAAATAAGATTTTTTTATTACGAGTAAACTCCATCAATTAATTAATCAAATGATTAAGGAGTGGTATAAATGCAATCTGCAATCTTCAGGCTCTTTTTGAAAAACATTAAAAATCATAAAATATATTGTAATTTATTACAATTAATTAAGGTTTTTAGTTGAGATAAAAAAAGTCAATGGCACGAGCGGGAATCGAACCCACGATCTTCGGCTAGATACGCTGATGCTCTACCCCTTGAGCTATCGTGACCTCGATCCACTCGGACACTAACTTCCCATCTCAACCACACCTTTCGAATTTTCCCTCCTTTTTGCCATTTTTCAAATGTCGTGTAATCGGATTGGATTTTCGGCGACAAATGAAATGGCCACGGAGTGGATCGAGGTCACGATAGCTCAAGTGGTAGAGCAGCGGCGTATTTAGCCGAAGTTCGTGGGTTCGAATCCCGCTCGTGCCATTGACTTTTTTATCTCAACTAAAAACCTTCATTAATTGTAATATATTAATTGGTCAAGCGGACCACGAAATTAGTGAATTTATTGTAATTTAGTTGTTCTAATCATTTTATCTACCTATCGTTACAGGTTTGGTCTGTTTGACGCGGTTCAGCTTTTCGCCTACTTCAGTGCTGTGTCTCACAATATTTATGATTGATATGATATCTATATAATAATAATAAGAATATAGGAAGTTTAGAGGCCGACAAACAGCTGCATCACCGACCCTTTGCGTGTTTTTACGTCTTTTTCTGGTCTTTCACGCAGACATTTAAACTTCTCTAAGTGTATATACTAAAATGCTAGCCTTCTTATTCGTACCTCAGGTTGTTATCTACAGAATAAAATATACAATACATATGTATACATTGCAGTCTGGTTAATTTACTCCCCCAGAGTAAGCAATATTCCTCGGAGTGGTGTTAAACAACTCCTGCCTTTCACGCTAATAAATTAAATCTATTCCAATAAATTAACTAACATAAACACAACACCCGATACAAACATAGAAGTCTGGTCACATCACTCCTTCAAAGTAGTCATACTTCATTATAGCTAATAATTTGCTTTTACTATCTAGACCTCCCACACACCCCTGAGTACTCGGTGTCTCACGGGATTGGTTGAAACAACCACTAGGATATCTGTATTTATAATTAATTGCGTATATTTAGAAAATCGCACGAGTTTATCGTCAATTTGAAACTATTTTTACAATACAGTTTTTATAAATGTATANGTTTTTATAAACATTGTTTAATTATGATGGTTAGGAGTAACTTTATTTAAAAAAATTAAGTTTAACAAATAACTTATTAGATGGTTGTGCTCATAAAAGTTAACTAACAATTTATTACAAGGTTTTGCTCAAAATAGTGCATTAAGAACAAAAATTGCGTTGCGATTGTGATAGTGATTATTGTGATAAACGCTGTGGACTGTACGCGACGTGTGCTTGCGTCGGATAGATGTGCACACCCCACCAAAACGTGGCAAGGGTGTGCGTCGCAAGCGTCGCATGGCGTAGCATCGGGTAAGTATGTTCCTGGCTTAAAGCTTTTTTCAGTATTAGGAGTATCGGCCACTTTTTCACTTATAACCACTCTGCATCGAGGTATGGTATTGAAGAAGAAAGCAAATTTAGCTGCCACTGCCAAGCTTTCGACCTATTTTAAGGTCATCATCATGGCTTATATTTAATTCACATTATGAAAAACATATTTTTACAATTGATTTAACAATCAATAAAACCACACAGATCTTTCTCAAATTTGCTTGAAGACCAATTGATTCTCAACATTGCCGAGGACTGCAACCATGTACCAAACTACCACGCTGGGAAAACGTGTGCGAATTTATCAATTTGCCGCTTGATTTGTTCATTGATCTAGTGATTTTATCAAGCATGAATTACTATTTTAAATATGATAAAATATGATAATAAAATATATATGGAGGTTGATGGTGTGGCGACGGGAGGTGTTTTGTCCCCCATTTTTGCAGATATACTAATGAATGATATGATTGATTGGGTTTTAGGTCAGATAACTTATAATACAAGGTTATATGTAACTTGTTTCTGATTTTTCCAAGGGATAATTTAGACAATCTCCCTTAATAGTTATCATGAGAACAATTCACATAATATGAAGTTGAAAATATTGGCTCTATTCCCTATATTAGACTTGGAAGTGATCAGAAGTCCAGCAGGTACATTGATGCATTGGTGGTATACAAAATAAATCAACTCTGACAGTTATTGCAACTATTTCTCTTCTCAGTCTTTTGGTGAAAAACTGAATTGTAGTCATTTGATACGTAGAGTTTTCTCACTAAGCAGCATATATTGCTGGAGTAATGTTAAACGGTGAGCTTTCCGAATTTTAAAAAATAACAACTAGAAGATATTGGTTAGTAGATTGTTAGATATTAATTCAAGGAAGTTAATAAATATTGAAAAAAACCAATAGAAATATGAACCTCCTTTCACGTTCAAGAGTACAACGTTCGTCTAAATTAAAATATTTGATAAAGAAATACATACACGACATCAATTGTTTTTACAAATACATAAGGAAAAATGAGTTCTTCACCTACTAAACACAAGGATGAAGAAGAAATGTTGAATTTATCGAATGTTACATTTCTCGTGTAATGTATGTTCAATCAAATGCATTGGTCAAACAAAACAAAGAATAAAAAATAGAATTTATGGTCATGTTTCTGATTTTAGGAATAAATTCAGAACTGGATAACTGTCGTGAACGATCACAACATTCAATATCAAGTAGGCACAAATTTGACTTTTCCAATGTTGAAATAATTGACAAAGAGTCTCAATTACACAGAAGTGGAATAAAAGATTTTCTACATACTAAACTGGAAAATACTAATTGTAACATTCAAACTTCAACTATGGGCTTAAGTTTAATGCATGAAGGTCTTATTAATTTTGAAAAGTAGTCTTTGAAAACGATAGGTGGACCTCCGAGATGTCAATACTGTTACAGTCCTTGGCAATGTTGGGACTGAGTCGGTCTTTTAGAATTTAGATCGCCTGTAAAATCTTAAATATCTCGATCTGTCTGACATATTTAAGGTCGTTTTGTAAGTTCTATACAGTTATATTGATTGCTAAAGCAATTGTAAAAATATATTTTCCATAATGTGAAATAAATATAGGCCCTGATGATGACCTTAAAATAGATCAAAACCTGAGTAGTGGTAGCTTAAGGTTTTTTTATCAGTTTCCAATGCTTTTTATGAGGTCATTTCTGGCCTTGGTTTTTCCTCTCCCTGCAGTACGAATCTTGCTTTGCCTTCGCACCAACGTAGGTCATGTTCCGCTGTTTATGATTCTCTCTGTTCATACATATACTTCCAGAGCCTGCAGTGTACCATCATTATAGTCCTAACATAACTATGCTTAGTTTAGTAGTTAAGCTATTAGTTTCTGCGATGTCCCTTTATTCTTAACCCATTTTCGTTGGTTCGTAGGTGTCCTCAATTTATCGGCTTTCTGGGTGCCTTCTGCCCTGCAGAGGCCCTGGTGCCAAACAAGGTTATTTTTTGTACCCCTTGGTGCAATCCAAACCAGTCTGATTTCCTAAAGATGATGTAGATGCCACTAGTACGGCTTGACTATCCGAGTAAAAAATTGTCATTAGTAATACCCAGCTTTTTTATCTACAAGTCACAGTGTTCATTCAGGTATAATGTCATCATATTTTATAGTCAATTTCTAAAAGTTTTCTTGAAGTGAGTGAAGAACCGGTCAATGAGCAGCTATTGATGATGTCAAGGCATGTACAGTAAGTATTGATGATGCTGATTAACTTGTTTTTTTAAAAAGATTTTTTTAATGTGCATTGTAACTGTAATTTAAGTAGTCCCCATCTTAAGAGGCTTGCTTTATAAACATTTTACGCGATTTTTTAAATTGTTTTGTCTAGTATATATAATGGAGAATTGTAATCCAAATTTGAAAAATTTGACAAGAACCTACTTTTACGGCTCGATAGAGAAAAAACTCGCCGCGTTCTTCCATTAACCATTTTCACGGGGTTGAAGTGGCATAAACAATTTTTACGCTCTCCTTATAAAGAGCTATGAAAAGATTTATGGATCAGCACTAGAAGAAAGGTTTTCCTTGCACATCCGACATT